TACTGAGTGATAAGGACTAAACATAACTCTAATTTGTGAATATGATTATTCTTCTATATTTTCATGTTAGCTCTGTTCCAACTTTAGCTTTCTTTTCATTTCTTTTTCTTTCATGACTGAACAATATTATCATGATTGATATTTTTCAATAAATATTAATAATTAGGAAGGTAAAATTTTTGCTTTATATATTTTCATATAATACTTTTTCATGTATATATGTTTTTATATATGTATATATATAGTTTTATCACTATCCATATATATATATATATATATATATATATATTTTTTTTTTTTTTTTTTTTTTTTAGTAAGGTTACAGGCAAAATACCTCCATTTTTTAGTGCACCAAAGTAGTTAAGACAGTTTATTGAAAAGACTCCTAAAATCATTTTTATACTGCCATTTATAAAGCAACTAAAAAACTGATTATAAATTAGCAGATGGTAATTCTACAAGTGTTCTTTAAATTGTCAGTGCTAGACAGAAACGTGCTATTGTTCACAACCGAGATGCTTTGGGCCATTACTCTGTTCACTTCACTTTCCTAGGATGATTTATAATGTACCAGCGTCTCTTAGGCTCTGTTTATTTTCTTATATTCTATTTTTCTCTTCCCAACTGATGGGTAATGCCAATTGACCCATCTTCAGGCTTGCTGGGTGTTCCTTCTGCCTGGTCAACTCTATCAATCTTTGTTTTAGCTTTCCATTACTGCTATAAAATCTGTTAGCCAGGGGCTGGGGATTTAGCTCAGCGGCATAAGCGCCTGCCTTGCAAGCAGGCAGTCGCGAGTTCGATCCCTGGTACCGATAAAAAAAGAAAAAGACAAAAAAAAAAAATTAAAAAAAAAAAAAATAAAATCTGTTAGCCAGTGGCTTAGAATCTCTTCCCAAATCGCTGCAAAGTTGTTAAATTCAGGCCAAGAATCACTTGTCTCAAAGCAAGACCAATCAATCAGCATCTTCACAGAAAACCTGCACACAGTGGTGAGGTTCCCGAGCTCCAGGTCAGCCTGTGAACTCAGGCTCCTCCTGCTGCCCTGCCCAGGCCTAGGGCTGCAGGATGTGCTCTCCCAACCCCTCTGCCGTCTCTCTCTCACCAGCGCCTGTCCCAGACCCCACCTGCTGCTGTGGTGGCCTGGACACAAGGCCCTGGAGCCTGTGATCACTGGAGCCCGGTGCCATGCGGAGCTGCCAACCTGCTCCTTTCATTTTCTTTTTGATTTGTGTATAGACTTATGGCTAAGAGTTTGCCTTGAATCTAAGAGGAAACTTTGGACTTGAACTTTTCAGAAATGCTGGAAATGTTAAGACTTCGGCAGCTCTCAGAGACCAAATCAATCAATCAGTCAATCAATCTATCATCTAATTTATTTTAAAGAAAAAACAAAACAATGCAAGCAATACAGGATTTCAAAACAAGACGATAGGAAATCAGCGGTGGCTACCACAGTGTTTCCTGTTCTCCCTGAAATAGTTTTCCATATCTTCACACACAATGAATTCAAATAAAACAAAACAGAATAAAACAGATTAAAACAAAAGAATGAAAGCATTACTGGTCTTCAAAGCCAAACAAAAGGGAAATCAACAATGGCTCTTGTTCTCTTCAAAATAACTGCCCATATCTTCACACATACTGAAATCAAATAATAGAAAACAGACTAAAACCAAACAAAACAAAGAATGAAACCATTAGTGGACTTCAAAGCAAGAAGACAGAAAATCAGCAATGGCTACCATAATGTTTCATTTTCTTACAAGTAGCCGTTCATACTATGACATGTAATAAAATCAATTCTTGTAGATTCTTCATGAGAAATTCTAGGCATGTATAAGCCTATACATGTACATCTGTTCTTTCTATATTAGAGGGAAAAGCAAAACAAAATACAAGAAAAACAAAAAAACTAAAGAGACAAATAAATAACAATAACAAAGAGCCCAAAACCATAAGAATATAGGCTTTCAAAACAGGGTGGTAGGAACATAACTAAGGTTGTTATTTTCCATAGTTATCTCCAGAAGTACTACTCAGATTACCAGATATGAACATGCAAAATTGATCTAATCCTACAAATATTAACTGTTTTGTTCCAAGAACTAATAGAATTAGTAGTATAATCGTCTTAGCTATCTTAAGTGTATACATACAAATTTATATTTTTTTCTTTTTTCTTTTCTCCTTTTCCCTGTCTGAGTTATTTTTTCCCATTTGAGCAGTTTCTTTGCCTTTCACAATATTTATTGAAGATTTTGTATCTTGTTTACTCTCAGTTTCTTACACTAGGGAGACAATATGGTATTTACACATATGAGTTTGATTTATTTCACTATATATTTTGCATTATAAGAACATGAGTCTTCGGGGGCCAGGAGTGGATTGTTATGGTTTAAATCTAAAATGCCCCCCAAAGTCTCATGGAAGGTGATTGGATCATGGGGTTTCTATACTTACCAGTAGAGTCATCCTCTGATGAGTTAGTAGGTGAACGTGCTGTTAGGAGATGGGACCTTGTTGGGAGTGTGTTTCTGAGGATGTGACACAGCAGGGTACATTCTTATTCCTGGCAGGGTACATTCTTATTCCTGGTCCCTTCCTGCTTGCTTTGCTTCCCAGTGGCTAGTATGTGAACACCAATCACGTTCACTATGCTGCTTTTACCTCAAACCAGCAGACCATATGCTGAGCCCACTGAAACTGAGCCTACATAAACCTTTCCTCCTTCAAATTGGAGGTGTCAGGTATTTTAACCCACCAACAGGAAAATACCTAATACAATATGGATATGAATTCCTATAGAATTGGCTGAAGAATGTGCTACTATTATCACCATTGTATAGGGGAAAACAAAGGCATTGCAAAATTAACTGAGTACCCATTGCCTTCCATGTAGCAAGTGGGAGTACCAGCTTCAAACCCCAGGAAAGTAACTGAGAGTCTGTATTTACTGCAAGGGTAAACTGGCACCCCTAAAAGGAAATTAAGCAAAGAAAATAAAGGAAAAAAAAAGGCAAACGCTGCTAACACCAGTGATGATCTCATTTTCACTATTTTCACAAAGATAATAAGTGCAACTCTAGCACTCTTTCTATTATCTTGATGTGCTGTGTGTCAGGCAAAATCCTTGGCTTGGGGCCTCCTGCACTCATCGCAAGAAAGGAATCATATCACCTGAAAATCAACTGTGTCCCCACCCAGAGGGTGGTAGGCTTTGTTCTACTCACTTTTAAATACTTTTGACATCCTTGGCAGCCCTGGCCATCATCAGTACCACTTAACATATTTCCAAGGAGTCTGGTATGTTTGGGAGTGCCTCTTCGCCTCAGACTAAATTGGCCAATTCACAGGGTGAGTGCTGGAATCTCTTCTAGACTGGTTTGAACCTGTTTTGTGTACGTACGAATGAGAAATATTAGACCCTGTCACTTCATCCAATTAAGTGTTACATTTAGTTTACTAAGAGAGCTGAGAGCCTTAACATAGATCACATGACTCCTTCTTCATCAGACGTCATTGCAATGGACTTTGCAGTCTATGATACCAAAATACTCATTTCTGCCTTCTGATTTCTTTAAATCATTGCATTAACTAAAATCACCTAAGCTGAGCTTGCACTGACTGTGACTGGTGACATTCAAGAGTTTCAATGCATCCAAGAATCTGTACAGTCTGGCACCGAGTCACGTCCAGATGAAAAACCCATTTTTCTAGCAAGAAGCAACTGATGTGGACTTAGGCTGACATGCTGTTAAAGAGGCCTATGAATTTATACAGCTAAAGATTGCTAGAATACCAGCTGAGGCAGCATAAAAAATGTTTTACCCCATTTAATATGTTGTGGATCAATTTGAGCTTAACATGGTTTAAATTCTGGCAAGCAGAGTTGGTAGTATTTATGTTTGGATTTCTTTATCAAAATCCTGACAATAAGTGATTTTAGACCTATTGTCTTAGACCCTTGAAACCACTGTGCATGTTAGCTTCCTGTATTGAGAAGGGAAAAAAAAATGCATTACTCCAGGAGTTCCCTAGCTTTTCTACTCAGAATCCTTTTTTGTATGGACTAAATTTCATTTTGATGCATCTTTGCTGTGTTCATGGCCTGGGAAGCAGCTTTAGCTTCTCCTGTGACCCCACTTTCTTATCTCTTTCTTCTCATAGTCTATGGTGTTCCTGCTTCCCAACCAGGCTAAACATCCTTGAACATCCAACCATGCCTGTGAAGATGGACCACAGTCTTTATCAGGAAAGGAAGACCACAGAATATCATTTCATCTGGCAAAGGTTTTCATTTAAGACATCCAGTGCAGTCTCCATAGAGACAATCTCTTGGGTAACATTCCTTCAGATGAGAAAACTGAAACTGTAAAGAATTAAGTAATTTTCTTCAGGTCCTACAGTGAAGGAAGTCCCAAACTTTGAAACCTGGTTCAGAAAGCCAGCTCCAGGCCCTCCTGGAAGCCTTCATCAACTCTGTTCTGTTCAAAAGCAACAAGAGCCCTATTACAATCCCTTTCCAAGATATAAAGACAGAAAGATATAATCACATTTACAAATTCATTATCAAGGTGCTACCATGCTCTCTCTTTCAGGTTTAAAACTTTATTTTCGTATTTAAAAACTGTATTACAATCATTAAAATCATTTGTAAAACAGCAAGGAAAAGTGTTATGATTAAAGTGCGTTTCACAGCCTGCAGGGCACCTTGGATCAGCTTGGATTTTACTTCTTATTTCACTGTCCCCCTGGACAGCTTCTTTCCTTTTCCCTCCTTGCTGCCAGAGAGGCAGAGGGGAGAGGCAGATGCTGCCTGCATTGTCAGTGGATTGCCATTCTTTGAAGTGAAAGGGACGGCACAGCCATTAAACTTGATCTAAACCCCTTGCATCTTTTAAAGTTGAACAGTTACAATGAGCACAATAAAAAGTGCACTGTAATCCTCTCAGGTGGCCTAATTTTGATCCCACACAATGGAGATGACGCACACCTCCTTAGGATTGACCTGCTTGCTTCTGGTGTGTCCTCATTTCCTTTGAAGCCAGTGGATTTATCTCTTGCATATCTGTCTTCTTTAATTTGATCTTACTGAATTTCTGGATCCCAGCCCCAGGTCTGTCAGACACAATTATTCAGGAAGCTCAGCGGGGTGTGTGGGTGATCAGACTCTGGTCCCCAGACCAGCCCACTGAGTGCCATTCTTTTGTAACAGAGACCTCTGGAGATGAAATGCCCCCAAGAAATGAAAGCATAGTGCCCTCTTCTACCAGTGCACTATATTTTAACTGGGTAAGAACTCAAGACAAAAGAATGAAACCCTGAGTTCTCAGTGCGCCCTCTTCCCTGATTCCCACGGAACACGGAAGAAAGGTGGGTGTAGCTGACTTCTCAGTCCTGCAGTACAAAGAGCTCCAGAGCCTTTGCCAGCCCTGGTCAGCACCTTCTTTGCCCTCTCTTGTAGCTCACAGGAGAGCTTGCTCTTAACCTGGTGTCCAGAGTTTTGTACATTTGTAGTGTCCTCCTCAGTGTTGTGCTAATAGCTCTTTGTACTTCATAACCTATCATCTTTCTCTCCTGTTCCGTCTGTATGCGTGCCTCATGTTATCATGTAATTGCTTCTTTGCTCTCTTCCTGCCATCTCGCTGTAGAGGACACTAAAAGGGAAGAACCACATCTCCTTCCAGTCATGCCTGTCCAACTTTTGCAGACTCACTGATCTGTGTAGCTGGTCTTGTGTGTGTGTGTGTGTGTGTGTGTGTGTGTGTGCGCCCAGGGCTCTCTGCATATTAAGCATGCATTCTGTCTTTGAGCTGCATCTCCAACCCTTCTTTCTGTTTCTTTAACACACCACAGTCCTTCTTACCTTGGCACTTGCTATTTCCTGTGCTTAGAAAACTCTTAGTTTACATCTTCGTGCAGCAGCCTCCTTCTCAGCAAGTGTCAGGTCAGGAGCCACCTCTCAGCCTTTTTCTGGATCCCACAAAGGAGCCACTCCATTGTGTCTGTTTGTTCTCTTCACAAGCACTTACCCATCTGATGTTAGGTTTATTTTGGTCACTGCTGCATTCCCAGCTTCTAGAATATTGGCCAGCACATTGTAAGCAGTAGATAAACATTGATATAATATATGAACAAAGAGTACTACTTAATAAAAGTTCCGTTTTCCCTGCCTCTTAACTCACAGAGCCCTACCTTTCAGGCAGTGTGACTGACCTCTCTCCTTATTACAGTAGCCTTATTTCTCTAGGTGGACTTGAAGTGCACACAGGCAAAGATGTTTCCCAACTTGTACCCTCTGGCATCTGTAGGGTTCCTTCACATTGAGGCTTCACAGAAAATGTCTGAGTCATCTTTCCTATTTTCTAGTGCCAAGAAACTTCATTTGGGTCCTTATAACTGATGCAGCAAACCCACATTCTCTCTATACAGACAAGCAGGTTCATGCTGTGTGACATTGTTACATGTGGTAGAAAGGCATGTCCTGAATGCCAGCTCCTTCTCTTAATGCTTCAAATCTTTTTTTTTTCTTTTCTGTCTCTTTGAGACCGGATCTCACTATGCAGTTCAGACTGGCCTTGGGCTCACTTTGTAACCCAAGCTACTCTCGAACTTGCAATGATTCCCTTGCCTCTGCCTCCTGAGTGCTGAGGTTACAGTTGTGCACCTGGCTCTAACAACTTTATTGTAACCTTTGGAAAACTGACAGAACATCAGAACAGACAGAACAGCTTCCGTGATGCCTAGATCTCTGTGCCTCATGGTGACCCAGCAATTAAATCCATTTCTATTTACAGTTGAGTAATTTTCCCATTAATGTGTTTGTCAACTTATATTTCAGTCAAAATTCTTCTGCCATTTTTTTTACCCTTTTATTTTGGCATGTAACTTCCTGTAAAATTTAATGTCATTTTCAAGTTTAGAGAATTCACTATGCCCTCTCTTTTCCAAAAGTCCAATAAACCATTAGATTAGATTGACCTACAATTGATTCATTGGGAAATACCATAGTTTGCGTGTCACCTTTTAATAATATCCCTATCTGTAGTGTTTTGACACTAATTTTTTATTCATAATAAAACTCTATTCCTGACCCTAGGATAACTCAATTAAGAAATAGTCATGGTGTGAAAAATTTTTGGAGATTGTTCCAAAAATAAAATACATGAATGATTCCCCTTTCTCCACAATTTTATTTTCCTCCCGAAAGAATTTCAATACGTTAATCAGGCAATATTTTTTATAGTGGGTGAGTTAGTTTTCTTGAAAGTGACAAGTATTCAGTAATCCTATTTTTTGTTCATATTTCCTTTACTATATAGATAGCTTCCATTAGACACTTTTAGACTGGGCAAGTAATGATTAAGTCTAAAAACTAGTTTGAAATGTTTCTTTGCCAAACACAGGAAACAAACACAAGGTTACAATACAAAACCACCAAAAAACAAGGCAACAACAACAAACACCAGGTTTAACTTACAGTTTTAAAGTTTTTTTATTATATGAGAAAAACAATTGTTGCCCATATGTGTATGTAGACATTGGTAAACATGGGAAAGGTAGGGGAAAAAGGACCTCGCCGAAATCATGCTACTTTCCAGCACTTAAATACTTCATACATGCTTTCCTTTTCTTTCTCTGTTTTTTCTAGTATTACCTCTTGTTTCTGTTACCACCTTCCCATCCAGGTATTGTTATAGTTCTTTCCTCAGGATTTATATTTTTCTATTTCTTTTATCTTTAACTCAATGACTCTGTATTTATTTTCATGCTCATAGCCAGTAGTTTTAACTTGAACTATTCATTCAACTTTTACTTATGGTCATTCATGTCACTCTTAGAAGTTTTAAATGGACTTTAATGTATTATTCCTTTTTAAAAGAATTTCCGATGCAAGTTTAAACCTATCTATTATTCACTAACATACTTATCTAAATAATGAGCAAATAAAACATTGAATCTTTTTTCTTTATTCTGCTCTCTTGGTAGAAACTTAGTGCTCTTGATTTGTTAATAAGCTGAATAAATCATCCATTGAAAGACTTGACAGGTGCTGTATTTGTGTTTAGAGTCCTAACTAGAAATTCTGAGCCCCAAAGTAACAATTTTAGAAAATACTCCTTTAACCTTCCTTAATTGCAAAATAAACAGATCCATGCAGCTAAACTTTCAGGAATCTGCATTAGATGTTCAAAGCTTTTATTTATTTGCTTTTAACAGCTTTAGTGAAATATAACTCATGTACCATACAATTCATCTCTTAAAGTATCCAGTTTAATGGCTTTTATTACATTCCAAAGATATGCAACCATTACCACAGTCAATATTAAACATTTTCATCATCCCAGAAAAAGTGCCCTATTCTTTAGATCACCACTCCCTTACCTTCTATTCCTATTCTTCTTTCTCCCTGCCCTAAGCAATTAATAATCTATTTTTAAAAATCAATCAATCTATCTGTATTTTGACAGAACAAGAGATTTCTGTACTCTGAACTTTTATCTAAGTGAAATAATATAGTATGTAGCCTTTTGTGACTAGTTTCTTTCACTTACTGTAATATTTTCAATATTTTTCTATGATGTAGCAATGCATCTACAATTAGTTTCTTTCTATGATCTTCTAATATTCTATTTCCTGAATATAACATGCTTTGTTCATCTGTTCATTTGTTGATGGAAACTTGGCTGTTTCTACTTTTTGGCTCTTATGAATAATGCTACTGTAAACATTTGAATATATGAGACTATGTGGGATGTGTTTTCATTTCTTTTTAATATATACCTATGAGTAGAATTGCTGGATCATATGCTGGTTTTATGTTTTATAATTCAGGGAACTTACAGACTGCTTTCCAAAGTTGCTGCATGATTTTATAGTGCCACCAACATGGTAAGAGTGTTCTGATTTTTCTACACTCAGAGTAGCATTTATTGTTGTTTGAGTTATTTTTATGGCTTTTTGATTCTAGCCATCCAAGTAGATGTGAAGTGATATCACACTATGGCTTGAATTTACATTTCCCTTATGACCAATGATGTTGAACATTTTTTATAATTTTTTTTATTTTAAAGAGAATAAAACAAAGAACAGAACAAAGCAAATCAGAACAGAACAATGGAAGCAACACAGGACTTTGCAACAAGACAACTGCAAATTAATAGTGGGTACCATAAGATCTCTTATTTTCTTTGAAATAGTTGACCATACCCTCACATACAACACAATTAAACAAAACAAAATAGTATAAAACCAATAAAAAAGAATAAAAGCATTATGGGACTTCAAAACAAGACAATAAGAAATCAACAATGGCTACCATAATGTCTCTTGGTCTCTTCAAAATAGCTGTCCATATCCTCATACATGATGAAACCAAAAATTCAGTCATATGGTTATCTATCTTATACGCTTAAATATTCATGCAGTTATGTCCTTTAGAGCACTTTCTTTTCCTCTCTTTTTTACAATGACAATTACACATTTTGAGTTTTATTACTCCCACAGTTATTATTACTTTTTTTTGAAGAGAGTAAAACCAAATGTGACATAACAAAACAGAGTCTGTCAAATCAAAAGGGTGGACATAGTACATAATGTAAAAACAGAATACAAGGTAATCAACAATGGTTACCATAATGCCTCTAGCTATCTTCAAAAGAATTGCTTATATCATCAGTTATAATAAAGTTGAACAAAACAGTAAAGAACAAAATCAATAAAACCAAAACATTGGAGACATTACAGGACTTGAAAAGAAGGTAATAGTCAAACCAGAATGGGCATCATAGCGAATCTTATTGTCTTCACAGTTGTTGCCTATACTCTCAAACTTGGTACTATCAAGCAAAACAGAGTAAAATCAGTCAAAACAAGATGGTGAGAACAATACAGGGTTTCAAATCAAGTTAATAGGAAATCAAAATGGGTTACTATAATATATCTTGCTATTTTTTATTTTTTCCTTAATTAAAAAGATAAAAATAAAAAATAATTAAAAAGGAGATTGAGATAAAGGAGGACATAACAACAAACAGCACAGGTCAGAACATAACCATTTAAGCAAGATAGTGTTTCACCACAAGATATTCTGACATAAAAGTAGTTACCATAGTATCTCTTACCTTGAAATCTTTGAGTATAACTTCGTATACTGTAGCATCAAACATAACAAGACAATGTAAAACCATTCAAGAGAATGACAGTATTATGTGGTATTTAGAACGAACTAACAGAAAATGAACAATGGTTTCTGTATCTTGTCTATAAAACTTTTTTATATTACCACATATAATAAAATCTAATAAGATACAACATGTTAAGACTGATGGAGACAGAAGAACAAAGCTTGGTGGGACTTCAAAACAAGATGATATTAAATCAGCACTAGCTATTATGATGTCTTGTTTTCTCCACAATAGCTGTTCATACCATCCAACCTTCTCTGCCTCATTTCTGTTGAGCTTTTTTTCTGTCATTAGCTGTCAGTTTGTCTTCTTCAGTTTGCTTTCTGCTCCATTTATTGTGGCCTCTCTGCCACTGTTTCTGGAATCTTGGTATTCCTTTTAGAATGTGCTGCAGTATTCTCTGTAGAGTTGAATTGGTGGTTGGAAATTCCCCTAGTTCCCCTTTATTCTGGAAGCACCTTGTTTGTCCATTAATTTCTAGGGACAGTTGTGCAGGATATATCAATCTTGGCTGGAGGTTATTGTCTTTCAAAGCTTGAATTATTTCCCCCCATGCTCTTCATGATTTGATGGTTTGTGCTGAAAAGTCTGCTATAATTCTCATGGGTGTTCCCTTGTAAGTGATCTGTTTTTTGTCTCTGACAGCTTTTAATATTCTGTTCTTATATTGGATTTCTGGAAATTTGATTATTAAACGCCTGGCTGTAGTTCTGTTTGGGTTGTAGGTAGCTGGAGTCCTGTATGCCTCATAGATCTGAGTATCTTTACCTTTTCCCATATTAGGGAAATTCTCCTTGATTTTTTTCTGTGAATAGACTTTGCAGTTCATTTGTATCCCTGCTTCTTCCTTTACATTCTTAATTCTTAAGTTATAGATCCTCTTATCATCTTCTAGCCTTTGTATTGTTACTGCTTGTTTCCTTGTTATTTTTAAGAAGTTTTTCCTTTCATGATCCCACATTACAAATCTGTCCTCCAGTTCAGATAATCTATCCTTAGTTTCTTTCAAGCTGTTATGCCAGCTTTCCATAGAGTTTTTAGTTTCCTGGTAATCTCTTTGAACCTGCTTCATATATTCTACTTTTTCTCTATTTTCTCCATCAAAGAATTCTCCCCTTTTTTTCCTGTTCTTCCATCTACCATGTTTTTTCTTGGGAGGTACTTAGCATTTCTTTAACTATTCTACTTATATCTTGCTTTACTTGGTTAAATGGTTCATTTTTGAACTAGTCTATGAGGTCCTGGAGATATTGCTTTATGTCTATTGGTGCCGTGCCTGATACTGCATGTTTTGTGTCCTCATTCTCCTTTGCATTTACCTTTCCTGGATCAGTGTTCTCAGGATTGGGGAGTGAGGATCCTTTCTTGTTGCTCCCTCTTCCCATACTTTTTGTTCCTTCCATACAAGCATATATAGGAGACCCAGTTTCTTTCTTTGTTGGTTACAGTTTGTTTGAATCATGCCAGCTAGGTGTTCCTGCCCACTGCAGTGTACTAGGGAGACACAAACCTGGGCAGCCTATGCTGGGCCCTCTCCTCCAGGTCAGTCAACCTGCTGAAGGCTTCACTGCATTAGGGTGCACTGCCAGGCGCAGGGACAGGTTTGGGCTAGCCTACTGAGTCTTAGTTTGTGGCGTCACCCAGGTCAAGCACTCCCCACCAATCCTGCTTGAGAGGGGAATTTGCGACTGAAGTCACTGAAGCATCCTGTTCCGGCTAGTCTGCCTGGTCCCAGAATGTCCTCTGTTGGAGCCTCCTAGTCTATGGAAGGGTCCCTGTTCCTCTCACTCACTGCAGGTTGATGCAGGGCTCCCTGCCAGGTCTGCTCTCGATTTCTTTCACCGATTCCCGCTCAGAGCTTTCACGTCACTATCCCTGCTGTGCCGATTCAGATGCAGCAGCAGCGGCAAGAAATTCAAGCTGCGGTATCCAGAGGCGCGGGTTCCAGCTTCGGCACTGAGACTTTATCTGTTCCAGTCATAGAACCTGGACTGTATTTCCCGTGGGTTTCTCTCAGCTTAGTTCATCCCTGGGTCAGCAAGGTATATCTCCCCCTGCCTAGGACTCTCCACACTGCACCATTCCTGGAATCTAAGCTGGCTATCTCAGAGAGCCTCCATAGCTGCTGTTATCTAACTGCCATGTTCTCTCCCATTACTTCTGTAAGTAGCCTTTTTATTTCATTTGTGTTGACCCCTACTTCTTCACTGATACTTATAACTCTTAAATTAGGTCTCTTTGCATTGTTTCAGCTGTTGAATTGTTATTTCCTGGTTCCTTGTTTTTTAAAAGATCTTTCCTTTCACAATTGCTAAGTGCAGTCCTGTCTCCAAGATCTGAAAGTCTGTCTTCAGTTTCTTTCAAGTGGTTTTGCCAGTTTTTGATTGACTTTTTAATATCCTGTATATCTTTTTGTTGTCATTTGTTTGTTTGTTTTGGTACCAGGGATTGAACTCATGACCTTGTACTTGTCAGGCAGGTGCTTACACCACTGAGCTAAATCTCCAGCCGTAGATATCTTTTTAAATCTGTTTCAGGCATTGTAATTCCTTTCTATATTGTTCATTCAAAGTTTCCATCATTTTTCTATGCTCCCCCCCCCTTTTTTTATCTTTTTAGATATGCTGAGTAATTCTTTTATTATGTTTTTGTTTTCTTCTGTTACCTGAGACATTATTTCTGATTTGATTGCATTTACAATCTCGTGAAGTTGTTTCTTTACTTCTGTAGTTATCCTCTTGGACGTTTCAGTTGTGCGACTTCCATTTTCTTCCATGACTGTATCTCCCAGACTTGATTCTGTGTGGACTGGAGGTCTGAGATTGCCTTTTGCTTCTTCATCTTGACATTCTCTTGGGTTCCTCCCAACAGGCTGGCTGTGGGGTCCTGTGCACTTACCATGTTGGCTGCCCCTCACGGTGTAGGGAACTGGACAGGCACCTGGGTTCCTTTGACCCCAGGTTTACAGCGAGGTGGCAGGGTGTGGAGTGGGCTTCTTGAAACCTGTGCTGCTACACTGGGGCTTGAACTATTTTTTATGTTTTTGTTGGTTATTTGTATATCTTCCTTGAATAAATGTTTCTTCAGTCATTTCTTCATTTTAAAATTGAGGGGTTTTTTTATTATTGAGTTTATGAAATCTTTAAATATGAGTTCCTTAGTCCTTGTTTTACATTTTAGTGGTGCCTGTTTTATCTTTCTTTTGTTGTTCTTCAGTTTTGATATCAAACTTAAGAAACTATGGCTTAATCTAAGGTAATGAAGATATATCTCATATTTTCTTCTAAGAGTTTATAGCTTCTACTCTCAAATTTATGTCTTTTGTCAATTTCAGTTGAACTTTTATTCAACATGAGAAGAGAAACCAACAAAAACTTCCTCCCCTTCTCCTCCTTCTCCTTTTTCCCTCCCTCTCCCCTTTCCCCTCTCTCCCCCTCCTCTCTTTTCCCCTCTTCCTCCTCCTCTTTTTTGGCTGCTCTTTAGTTAGCCTAGCACCATTTGTTGAAAAACTATCATTTCACCATTTCATGATATTGTCCCTCTTGTTGGAAATCAGTTGACCTAGATGTATGAGTTTATTTTAGATTCACAATTTTATTCTATCAATCTACATGTCTGTCCTTTTACCAGTAGCACACTCTATTGATTACTATGGCTTTGTGGTAAATTGTGACATTGGGAAGTATGAATCCTCTTACTTTATTCTTTTTCAAAAGTGTTTTGGCTGTTCTGGATCTCTTGCAATTCCACACGAATTTTAGAGTTTGTACAAAGAATTCATCAGACATGGACATGGTGATTGCACTGAACCTACAGAACTGTTTGGAAACTACTAATGTTTTAACAATGTTAAGTCTTATAATCCATGAACATGTTTTTTCACTTATTAATTACTGCTTTAATTTCTTTACAGAATATTTCTAGAGTATAAGTTTGCATGTCTTTTCTAAAATGTATTCATATGTATGTTTTCTTCTTTATGCTATTATAAGTAGATTATTTTCTTAATTTTATTTTTGGATCAATCATTTTAGTTATATAAAAACAAAGTAAGTTTAGTTTTTGTACATTGATCTTGCATCCTGCAACCTTGCTGAATTCATTTACTGATTTCCAATAAATATTTTAGTTCCTAAGGATTCCTAAGAATTGTCTATATATAAGGGCAGATCATCTTTAAAAATAACTTTACTTCTTTCTTTCCAATCTTCATGCCTTTTCTTTTTTCTTCTTGCACATTTATAACCTACCTAGAGAGTGTTCTATGGCTCTATTATCTTGTGGTATATTTGTCTCTTTTGCTATCATGACAATGCTAACCTTATGAATGACTTAAGAAGTGTTTGCTCCTCTTCTATAACTGAAAGAGTTTGTGTAGAACTGGCACTAATTCTTTATTGAATTTGATAGAATTGTATAGTGAAAACATCTGGGCCTAGATTTATACTTGTGGGCATTTAAAAGATTACTTATTCAGTATCTCCACTTGTCATACTTCTGTTCAAGTTTTCTATTTCATCTTGAATCAATTTTGATAAGTTGTGTCTTTCTTTTGGTTCTTAATTCTTTGTCTAAGCTTCCCCATTTGTTTTTTCTAAGCATTGATGTGATGAATTGGCACCCATTTCAGTATATGTGCTTCCAAAGTGAGCATGTGAATCAGTACCAGTATTGTGGATCACAAAAAAGTGTAGCTGGATCCAAGACTTCCAAAGAATACAATGGTGGTCAGAGCTCAGCAACCTGTGGAAAAATAGGAATCAGAATGTGCATTTCCAGGGCAGGATAGTTATAAAATAGAGCCAGTTTGAGACCAGTCTCCTGAGAGAGGATGAGAAGCAGAAGATGTGCAAGTGTGGATGGAAAAAAAAACAATAGAAGGAAAAACAGACCAACCTTGGGCAGAAAGACCAGAGACCACCAGTAACAACAGTTTCATGACTACTTAAGAAATAACCTGTGCCTCAATCCAGGACCTTTTCTGAACTTGTGGTGAAGGCAGGAACCACTCCCTGTACTTGGTAACACAGGTCTCTAAGATCCAGGTGTGTGGGGCTATCTGATCATATTGAGGAATGAGAGAAAATTAAAATGAGATGAGAATCCTAAAACCATCTATATAACTTGCTCAAGACAAGCCCTAAATGTGCCAGTTAATCTTAATCGGCAACTTGACTGACTTCAGAGACTTTGGGGATTTGACTAGGGGTGCTACACTTATCACACTGATATTCAAGGCTGAATGTGCTGTTAGGAGGTGGGAACTGGTCAGAGTGGGTTGCTGGGATGGCACCACTGGAGGATACGTCTCTCATTGCCACTCTTCCCCTGTTCTCAGCTTCCTGACTATGAAATAAGCAGTTCTGCTCCCCAGGCTCTTCTGCCATGATGTTCCTGTGTTGGAGCCAGGCAAGCATCTCTGAAGTTATGGCCAAAAATAAACTTCTCCTCTATTATGTTGTGGACATTAGGTATTTTGTCCCAGCAACTGCAAATTTGGATAAAATGAAACAGAGCTCCTTAATCATGGCAGACATAGCCCCAAAACAATTAATTTAATTTAATAGTAGCATACAGAATTTAAATCTATTCTTGAACTATGCATGACTATGCTAAACAATGCACAATTAGACTGGCAGTTTATATGTCACAGAAACAAGAATTATTTTGTCATATTTTGGAATATAAAAGCTGAGCTTTCACTCCAAATTAATTCTTTTTTAAGAAGGATGGGTAACATGAATCAATTAAATAAATAGAGGAAGTAAAATGGAAAATATTTTTGATTACATATTTGATTAAAATATTTAGTAGTATGTGTATCTGGAAAAAGACAGTCCCTTGAGCAATAAAAATTCCAAGTAAAATGGGGTTTATTTTAAAGAGAGAAAGCCACAGCTATGCTAATAATCCCTTTTAAGATTCTGAGGCTAATGCGAGACTCACAATAGTATCTAACATAAATATGTGAGGAGATACCAGAGAAACACAACAAAAATAAACTGAGAATTACCACTACAGAGTTTTTTCCACCCCCTAGCTCTTTTGAAATCTCAAGGAAAGAATGAGAACTCTTAGAAAGGTAGAAAAGAGAAAATGTGCTCATAAAGAGGGCTTGAGAAGGTGATTGGATCATGGAAGCATGGCGCTTATCAGTGGATTAACTAAGTTCACTGTAAGTTTACAGCTATATGTGACCGTTGGGAGGTGATGCTTGGCTGGAGGAGGTGGGACACAGGGGGAAGGGCGTGACCTGGAAAGGTCTCTCTCTCTCTCCTTCTTCCCCTGATGACTCTGTTTCATGTCTACCATGCCCTAAGCTGATTGTCCTCTGCCAGCCTCCTGTGGCATGGTACCCTGCTTTGTAGCCAGTGGACTATGGACTAAAACTTCTACAAACTGTAAGCCAGAATAAACCTCTCCTTCTTTAAACTGTGGCTGTTGGATATTGTGTCTCAGAGATGAGAAAGTAATTAAGACACCCACAATTGTGGCACTTTTACGGTGTTGCTACCTCCTTTAGGAAAACTTCCCATCTTCCTGTCCTGGGTTGGATGCTTACACTGGGCATTTCTAAACACTCCGAGTTTACCTATGTCATGTCACTTAATTGTAATTTTCTTTGTATTTGTTTCCTATTCAATTAGATGGCAATCTTTCTGAAGATAGGGTCTTTGTTCTAGCATAATATTCAGGGCAAAAAAACTACATAGAAACTAAATACAGGAAGAAAATTACAAACTTATCCTCTCAGAAAGCAGATTAATGATGTTATGAGGCAAGACAAATATTTTATGGGACACAAAGAAAGTTGGTAAATATATAAATAAAAATGAAATTGACTATATAGTAATACATATCATATACATATATATTTATAACACATATGGTAAGTATATAGGGCAGTTGTTTATTTTCTGCTTTGCAGATATAATTTTTCTTTTGGTACCATCTTGTTTTATTTCTAGTATGGATATCATCATTTTACACTCCATTCCCGCCGTAGAAATCAGCATGTACTCCAGGCTGAGCACCCTATTCTCTTGGACCTGAAAATTGAACCAAGAATAGGATGACTCCCCCTTCCCCACAGGGCCAGTTACCATTATTATGAGGGGATGGATGTGACTGCTTTTGGCATTTCAAATCATAAGCTTTTAAGAACATTTTTTGCTGCTGAGTGAAGTAAGCCCACCTGAGAATAAAGCAAAAACAGAAAAGCAGAGAGCTGCCATCATCTCTGTTCAGTCTCTCTTTTTGTTTTATCAGTACCAGGGATTGAACTCATGACAGCTGCTTGCAAGGCAGATGCTTATGCCGCTGAGCTAAATCTCCAGCTCCTCTCTGTTCAGTTTTTAACACTTGCATCCTGCAGTAGCTGAAGCTGTATCTCAAAACCGAACTTCCAGTTTTGTGAGAACTAACTTGCTTATTTATTTGCAGCCATAAGGTCCGTACTGGTGACTTGAAGTGGAATGTACAAAGTTTCAGACCTTGACCTATAGCATGTGCTAAGTTGATGTATGTTATATGGTAATGAGGACTCTTGTCCCCATTTCAGAACTGGTAATAGGGTAAACCACAAATTAAACTGTCACCTGTATTTTAGAAATCTGACCATGTGCTTCCAATGGCTGGTGTTTTATTAGTTTATAGAAAATGTCAAGATATTGAAATGAGTTAATGACTTTTTGATGATTTTAATAATGTCAAGAAAAATACAATCTCCATCAAACAGTTAAGCAGAGTTAGCATTTGGTCCAACAATTCCACTCC